CGCCACGCTCCACGCCCTCGCGCGCCACGCCAAGGGCCACCACTTGCCAGTGGTTGCAGGTGGCGATTGGAATTGGGAGCCTGGCATTCTGGCGGGCTTCAGCGGCTTCGAAGGGCCGGGTGTGCGCCTGCATGCCCCCGAAGAGGCCACCTGCCATGGTTGGGCAGGACACCAATCACGTGCGGGACTTCTGCGTCATCACTGGAGGCTGGGTGGGTTCCGCGTGCGAGGACCCCGCGAAGCACCCGGAGCACTTGGCCTCGACGCACGACCTCGTCGAGATGCGGCCCAGGGGCATAAGTGATTGGCCGACTGTGCGCGTCGCCAAGCGGCCGCCTCCTCTGCCAGCGACCAGGTCTGCGGGGCCCCGTGCTGAACCCCCAGATTGGAGCGACACCAGCCTGGCGGTGCGCGCCGCGCTGGCCGAGGCCGACGGGCTGGCCTCGACCCTCGACGCTCGGCAAGTTGGCGATGCTCACGCCGCTTGGCTGCGCACCGCCCGCCTCGACCTCGGCGGGATCGTCGACGCCAGCAGTGGCGCGCTCGCGCGCTGGGGTGGCCCGCTGGAGTTCGAGGACCAGCCCCCTCTGCAAGGTGCTGGCCACGCCCGAGCACCCGCGCTCCAGGGCCAGCTCGGGCTCAGGCGGGGCAGCTTGGGCACAATCCTCCTCCTCCTCCTCCTCCTCCCTCTCCTCCTCCTCTCCTCCTCCTCCTCCTCCTCCTCCTCCTCCTCTCCTCCGCCTCCTCCTCCTCCTCCCTCCTCCTCCCTCCTCCTCCTCCCCTCCTCCTCTCCTCCTCCTCCTCCTCCTCCTCCTCCTCCTCCTCCTCCTCCTCCTCCTCCTCCTCCTCGTCCCCCTCCTCCTCCTCCTCCTCCCGACGGCCCTTGGAGGTGCGAGGGCCTAGCGCGACCCGCTGCGGGCGGCTCTCTGGAGCCTTCGGGGCGCACTCGGACCTGGCGGCAAGTCCCACTACCACTGCCACAGGCAGCCAGCCTGGCCTGACTGGGAGAAGCTGCTGCGCAACGCGTGCGACGCCATCGGCAACGAGCTGGACGGATGGCGGGGCTCCGCCCCAGATCTCCTTGACAATGACGAACTTCGCCACAATGCAGGGCAGCAGAAACCGACCCGTTTCGTCTCAAATGGATCGTCGGTTTTCCAGCGGGCAAGAAATCCGCCCAGACAATCCTCAAAGCGTCGACGATGGGGTTCCCACAGCTTGCGTCGATGCCGAGTTTCCCGCAGGCTGCTTCCACGGGAACCGCGACCCCTTCGATGATCTGGAGAAGAGGGCTCGACGACCCGCGCCCGCGCGTCCGGGGCGCTGATGTGAATGGTGGCGCGCCTGCTGATGATGGTCCCCCTCCCGGCCCCCTGGAGCTCCCTCAGGCCACGGGCGTCACCTACTTCGCTGCGGTGAAGTTGCTCGCCGTGAAGGCTGAGCGGACGTGCAGATAATACCTGATGGGGCCCCATCGGGTTGGAGCCTCCTGGCGCGAGGCGCCCCAAGCGGATCTCGCCACGGGCGCCCCGATGCTGCGCAGGGGGTCGACAGGCCCCAGAGACTGCGAGCCCGAGCCCACCACGCAGCACCAGTCCGCGCAGGATCGCGCCGCGGACCCACCCAAGCTCTTGGACAAATATCGCAGTGAGTGGGGAGGAGGAGGAGGAGGAGGAGGAGGAGGAGGAGGAGGAGGAGGAGGAGGAGGAGGAGGAGGAGGCGGAGGAGGAGGAGGAGGAGGAGGAGGAGGAGGAGGAGGAGGAGGAGGGCTGGGCACTGGAACGAGCTCGACCCGCCCCGGGCGCGGGCACGCCTCGGCGAGGTCCCGGCGGCCCTCGACACCACGGTAGAGGCAGAAGGCCAGGGGTGCAGCCGCCTGTGCGTCTCCGCTGACGACGCGGGTGAGATCGCGAGCAGGTTCAAGGCAGGGACCTGCAAGCCTGCGGGGGCCCATCCCCAGCACCTGGGGCGGCGCTCGGACCTCGATGCGACGGCCAGCCTGCTGAATCTGGTCACGGCCACTGGGCTCACGCCCACGTGCGGGCAGGAGCTGCCCTCGGCCCAGCGCCTGGAGCCGCTCGGTGGAGAGCGCAAGCCAACCGGCCAGTTTAAGGCGCTTCACCGTGTGCGGGGCAAGTGCCAGCGGCACCGCCTGCGCGCATGGCAGCGCGAGCTCGCCGACTGGGGCATCCTTAACGCGGGCGAAGGGCAGAAGGTCTCCGACTGTGCGTGGCGGGCGGCGGTTCGAGGCGAGATGGCCGAGGGGCAGGTCTGATATTTCCTGGTCTTGCTGTGGGACTTGGCCAAGGCCACAACAAGCTGGTCGAGCTGGCGCGCCGCGTGCAGTTCCCAGCCCCGATCCTTAGGGTTGTCGTGGACGCATTCCGCTGGACCAGGTCATGGATGACATGGTGGCGCCAGGGGTCCTCCCCGACAACGGGATCGTGGCGGGGTGCTTCGCGGCCACGTATGCGCTTGCGGCCTACCTCATCACGGACCTCAAGGCGCAGCAGGAGCAGCACCCCGAAGTTCTGCTCACGGTCCACATTCATGACATCGGCCAAGAGGTGACGGCCGAGTCTGCTGGGCAAGCCGTGAGCCTGCTGGCCAGCAGCGCGCGGGGCCTCAAGTCTGCGGTGGAGCGACCTGGGCATGAAGCTGGCCAGCGCTCAGGGCACCATGCTGGGCAACAACATGGCTGCCACGGAGATGGCCCCAGATAGGGGGCCAGATGCGAACCCTACCCCTACCCCCCACGATTTCTGAGGGGGAGGGGGGGGGATCACTTCGCTCGAGAGCTCCCGAACAAAGTGAACTCCACCCTCCCCCTCACAAATCGTGGGGGGTAGGGGTAGGGTTCGCATGTGGCCCCCTAGTCTTGGGAAGGTCCCACTCCAGACTCGAATATGGGATTGCGGGGCGGTCGGGTCACGCAAGGGGTTTTGTGAAACAGCTGAGCACATGTTGGGTTCGATGCGCCAGGGAGGCCTCCTACCAGACGCGACGAAAAGCCTGGGGCTGCCCGAGCGCCCGCCCGAGGCGCCCGTGCGTCGCCCGTGCGTCGGCCGCCGAAGAGGCCGGCCTTCCCCGCGAAGGCGGGCGTCGCCCTCGCAAAAGGGTTCTTCGGCGAGTGCAGCGCCAGCATGGCGGGCGCTCGCGACATGCGGCGCCTGTGCGTCGCCCGCTTGGCGTCTGGGGCCAGGCCCCAGACGCGATGAAAAGTCTGGGGCTGCCCGAGCGCCCGCCCGAGGCTCGGCGCGCGCGCTGCGGCGCGCGCAAAGCGCCTCCGCGCGGCATCGCGGCGCCGACTTCCGCGCGGGGCGCCGGGCTCGGCCGCGGCCGGCAGGCCCGTGCTGCGCGAGGCGCTGGAGCGGTGCTCTCGAGAGGACCCGTTGGGCGCATGTGGTGCCTGAGCAAGCCCAGACCCCCTCGAGTTATGAACAAATCACGACGGGAGGTTTTTCATTCTTTTTGGCTTTTTGGGGGGCCCTTACCGGCCCTCGGGGCCGTCAAAAAACGACTCAGGACGAAAAACCGGCCCCGGGGAATGGGTCGAGACCTCGGGGGGTCGGCGTCATGAAAAAATCGTGACGTCGGGGGCCTGGGAGGCCCGTGTGCGCCAGGCGCTGCGGGCAGCGGCGCAGGTTGCGGGGCGCCGCCGGCTCTGGCACGCGGCCGCCCTCCCAGCCGCGAGGCGGGGCGGCGAGGTCACGGGCACCTGAAGATCCAGCAGCTGCGGGCCCGTGGCAAGGCCCTCCGTGGGCACGCCCACGCCAGCCCCGACGTGTTTGGCGCCTTCCTACCGAAGCTCGACCCTCTGGGCGACCTGGTCTCGATTCTCGATGGGGATCGTGCTCTACGCGGAGGAGCGGTGGCGCTCGACCGACCGCCACCAGGCGAACGGGCGCGTCGTCACGCCCAAGGAGCTGCGCGCGGCCTTTGACCGCGCCGCGCGCGATCTGCAGCAGGACCGACCCGAGGCAGGACCTGTGGGCGCCATGTTGACGTCTTTGAAGTGGGCGGGCTGGATTGCCGAGCGCGCCACGGCCTTCGAGTCCACGAGCCTCGGGGAGATCTCGATCATGCGTTTCGGGCCCAAGGAGGTGGGCAAGCTTTTCAGCCAAGACGCGCTCGCGCCGACGGAGATGCGGGCTGATGCCGCAGTGCGGACTCGCCAGGGCGACGACGATGGTACCAGAGTTTGGTGGGAGGGCTTGAGGGCCATCGTCGGCCAACGCTACGTCACGCCGCTGACGCGGCATATCCTGGTCTCCACCACGTCCGGGACCTACATGACGAGGAGCCTCGCGCAAAGGTGGGGCTACTTGGTGCAGCCGCTGTGCCCGGACTGCGGAGTGCCCGACACCTCGGCACATCGCGTCCTTGATCGCCCGCGGTTCTGCGCCACGCACTTGGAGCAGGGCGACCGCTGGGACGAGGCGCTCGCAGCGTGCCACTCCTGCGGCGATGCAAAACTGAGGGACCTGCTGCTGCCGCTGAGGCCGCAGTCTGAAGCTTCTCCCCCTTCCTCGATTCTCCGTGCCTTCAGAGGGGAATAGGGAAATCCCGACTTCAGATTTCCAGTTTGCTTCGAGCGAGCTCGTGGCTGGAGGTGGATCGGCTTCGACCTCGCCTCTCGAGTCGCTTCGTCGGGGGGGGGGTCGGGGTGGTGCTGTGGGATCAGACCACGGGCAAACTCCTGCGCAGTGTGGGGACCCTTCCCCCCGCGTCTGCCCAGACGGCCGTAGCTGCCGAGCACGCGGCGTACGAGTGTGGAGCTCGTTTGAGTAGTGGCACGTGTAGCTATGTAGGTCGACTGTAATACCGTGCTCTCTGTAGGCCGTCTTGGGGTCGTCACAGGCGCGGTCACGAGAGGCCGGTTTGCCAGCGTTTGGAGGGGCGTTGCTCGGCAGGATGGAGCGCTTCGGGAGCTCATCAAACAGAAGGCCCACGTCGAGGTTCCAGAGAGACCCGAAACCCCGTCCGACTGGCGAGTCTGATTAAACGACCAGACCGACCAAGCGGCAAAGGTAGCCTGCAAACTGCATGATGTGCATGGCCTCACCCTCGTCTTCCTACCCAGCTTGCTCGGCGGAAGTTTCTGTATGCTGCTTCCCGTGTGCCAGCTCCTCGAGATGAATGGAAATCCCTGCAAGGAGCCACCCCCCGTAAGGTCCCAGGCTGCAGGATTGCTCACGAGTTCGGCCCGTCCCGGTGGCAGTGCAAGCGATGTTTGAAGCCAAAGGTGACCCCATCCAGTACTCTCGATCGGAGAGGCTGCCGACCAGAGGAGGCGCCCCAGAAATTCCAGCGTGTGGCCCAATTTTCCAACACGCACGATGTCGAGTGGTGTGAACTGACCCCGCGCCCTGAGGCCGAGGTTGGAGACACGCTTGTTTTGCAAGCGGTGCTGCCAGTACGCGAACACTGGGCCCTTGGGGCTCGGCAGAGCCTGTCCTAGCTTTGGTGTCGTGGGCTGGCGGCGCAATGACGACGCGCAGCACAAGACGCGCCGAGGTCTTGCAACTCAAGCGCCCGAAGTTTGGCAAGGAGCACCGTATCGTCGCCCATTGGCCCCTCTCGGGGCACTTTAACGGGGTTCGCCAAGCCCACGAACCTCCGCATGAGTACATAGGGCTGTTCGCCGTTGTCTGGCCCCGCGCCAGAACCCAGAATACGTGGAGGAAAAACCTCCTCCTCCTTCTCCTCCTCCTCGTCGTCGTCGTCGTCCTCCTCCTCCTCCTCCTGAGACGGGGGAGTCGGATGGAGGAAAGGAGGACAAGGGGGACAAGGGGGAAAGGCGGCGGAGGCAGAGGAGAAGGATGAGCGTGTAGAGCTTGCTAGAGGCATTGCAATCCTCCCGCACCTGAGCTTCCGAAGTTGTACGTGCAGCCTGATATAATGTGTAGTTTGCTTGCAAGAACTAACCGCGTATCCGAACACCGGTGCAGCGTCGTAGAAAAGCCGCTGCGCGCCATACCTCATCACATGCCAGGGAGGCCAGGCTCTGAACTTGAATCTATTCGATGAGTATATTGGCTGCTTCGGGAGCTCACTGATAACTGGCCGAGTGTCTGGGGCTCACATTGACAGGATTAAGTCTGGTATTCCCGACTGAATGTCTAGGGCTAGGGCTTCCAGGAGCCTCTGAGCCTGACTGCCTTGGTGATTTCGGAAAACATCTTTGTCGTTGCCCATCTTGACTCTTCGGGGATTCTTGGCTTATCTTGTCCTGGAGCGACTCTGGCAGTCTGGATATGCTCTCTTCGATCCTGGCGAGCACTTCCTCTATTACCTTCGCGTTGTGTCGGGACTCCTGAAGCTGGATCAGCATGTCCAGGGACTTCGCGTTGCCCTTCAGGCGCAGGCATGCGCTCAGGAACTCCTCGAACTGCACCTCCCCTTTTTCTTCAACGTCGAGCAATGCAAACACATACTGAGCCTCGTCGGCGCTGACGCTGATGTTACTCCATTCCTTTGCCAGCGCCGGGTCCTGCAGTCGCTCCTCGAGCTCTTGCTCAGTGATGCTCCCCCAAAGGTCGGCGGACGTGGCCGAAGGTCCTCGAGGCCCTGCTCGGTGGTCGTCCTTGCACTTGTGGAAGAGCTGGATGATTTGGCTTGTGAGGAAGTTTTCCTCCTCCTGCTCAGCGCTGTGGAGTGCTGTCTGAACGAATACTCCTGCTTGACACGCTCGTCTTGCCCCCACAAGCCTGACCCCTGCGACAAACAAAAACTCCTCTGGGCGCCCATCCCAGAATTTCTGGTCAGATGCCAGCCCGCTCTCGAATCGTCTTTCCTGTTCCTGTGGGGGGGGGACAGGCTTGCGGGCTGCCAAGGCGGGCCCGCCGTCCCGTAACCACGTTCATCAGCGTATAGAAGACGAGGTGGAATACCCTGACCATGGGGTAGATCCACTCGTGGTAGTTACGCAGCAACACGAACTCTGCGCCGCACGGGAGGCGGTGCAGGGTCATGAAGTCGTCCTTCAAGTCCGCTGCCAATGATGCCAATGCCCATCTCGCAGATGGCCCTCAGCATGGTAGCTCTTCTGACATTTGACGCGGGGTCTGCCGCGTACGTGATCCACCCACTCTTGGCCGAGACCCTCGGAAGGCTGGTCCAGAACATGGGCGGTAAATCGTACTTTGAGGAAAGATCAGCTCGAAGCCCGCTCCACTGCGGGCACTCCACGACCTGATGACGTATAGATGGCCACAAATGGCCGCAATGTGGGCAAGGTAGCCCTGTCTGTCGACGCGTCTCCGATGAAGCCGCCCCTGAACGATACACTGAGAGGCTGAACTTCTCGGCAATACTCAATGAATGAAACCACTTTGTGAACACTTTGTTGCTGCAGGCGTCGACGTCCACTGACTCGACCTCCTCCGAATCCTTCCTGCGGGGCTCCACGATTTGAAGGCACCTGATCCTAGCTATGACCCGAAGGACATGTTGTGCTCTCTTTGAGTGCGTCCAGAATCTGTGCTGAGCGTCCGCCAAACCTTCCACAATCTGCAATACTCTGAAGTCGTCCATATGCGAGACTTCCAGTAAAACTCCACGTTCTTCTGAAAATCGTATATACTCCAATCCCAAGGTTCGAGCGTGTACTTGGATAGAGTTCTCTAGGAAAGATGACCAAACCAGCTTTTCGTCATGTAGACGTCTGAAGGCGAAGAGGCTGCAAGAGTATACGGGGTGGAGCATGATGTTCTGGCACCACCATCTGCCCAGGCACCACCATGTATTCTGGGTGCGCCACACTGCTCTCGCCAAAAGCTTTGCCGTCGCTGTCGGTGGGGGTGTCACAATAGGGGCTCCCCACGTCCATAGAGGTCTTAGGTATGTATAGGCCAACCGCAATCTCACCATGCAAGATCCAGGAACAGACTGAAGAATAGAAATCCCAGTGTGAAGTTTAGCCCATTTATCCTTTGGTATGATGGCCCATGTCGCGTCGGTAGGACAAGCAAGGAGACCGAGATGTTCGATCTGCTGCGGCTCCGCGTCCGTGGTGGACCATATCTGCGTTTTCTTGTTGTTCGCTTTGAAACCCACGTCACTGTCGAAGGTAGATGTTTGAGCCATATCGTCCAGCAGCCCCTGCGGGCTATCCCCAACAATATAGCGGTCATCCATAAAGCATCCCGAGGGACCAGACGTGATCCAAGGAACAAGGGTACTGATCATGGTCCCAGGTGCTGTGCTGTCTCCTTGTGGCAAACCTCGGTCTGCATATATTGCCCTCTCTGCAAGTTCTCCGTTGAGGCTGCACCAACGAGGGCCTTTCCATGCCGATTTGCATACATATCGTACTGCCAGAGGGTAACGTGAACGCTCCATTGCAGCACTCGCAATCTCATGAAGGATATTATCATAAGCGCGGCTGAGATCCAATTCACATCCATCCGAGCTCAATTCGCAATGTCGCAACCACTGGCTGATCGCATGAGTGACTGATATATGCTTTCGATTAGCCCATTGGCCCTCTGGCGGCTCGGGAGCTGCAAATGCCAATGCTCTGAGCCAAATACGTAGTAACACGCTGCCCACGCTGATAGGCCTCGTGTCATCCTCTCCCTTGGGCATACCTGCCACTCTCCAGGCGAATACCAGATCATGTAGTTCTCCTGGTGGACAGCCTTCATGTTCGATGCAATACCTGGAAGTATCACACCACAGCGTGTAGAGTTCTGCGATGATCTCTGGGTACAGGTCCGCCAGGATACGAATCTCTCTAAAGGACCACCCATCCAATCCAGCACAACCCTTTGAACTTCTCAGCGCTTCATCAAACTGTTCCTTCGTTGGCAGCCACATCTCATGTAAAGTCGACTTCGGAAACTCAACTTGATCAGCGCGATGTTGCCAGGCTCGAAGGTGTGCTTGTTTGTCAACATTCCCAGGCTTCCACTGTGCTTCCCACTCTTCGGCGAACTGCGAGACGTGACAAGATGATGCCGGGGGTGCTTGCTTGAACATAGGCGTGGCCACCTTGTACACCTCTGTGGACCACGCTGCAAACTTTTCTTTCCAAGATCTCTGGGCTTCGCGTTGCAATTTAATATTCTCCGCTGATATGGCTGCCGTCAGCCACTGGAGACAATCCGCATAACAAGGAATACCTTCTGCTTTCATGTTGACGATACCCTCGAAGGCCGCTCTGGCAATATCCATGAAGTGCCGTGGGGAGACCTCAGCCATCGCTGACGTTCCCTGCCTGAGCGCCTCCGAGAAGCGACGATGGAGGCGGAGAAGACGCCTGTGTGCAATACTTTGTTCTGGTCGAAACCGAGGTCCATGTGCTGCTGGCCTCTGCGTGGGTTGGGAGCCCTTGCTCCTCTCAGGTAGGCGGTCAATCTCCACCAGCTTTTTGTCAACTGCGATGTTGAGTGCTGCCTCCGCTCGCTCGTGCCAGTAGCGCCACCTCGTAACCAGCGGGACATCCGTGTCGTTGTTGAGATCCAGGTCGATGGCCCCACTAATATGGGGAGCCGCGCACACTGCATCTAGCGATTCCTTCAAGAGGCTCTTGTACTCGGCCGTAACCGTCCTGGTGTTGACCACCGGTAAGAAGGAAGCCGTGTGGTGTAGTCGGTACCGTGGGATAGTAACGTATGGTATCTCCAACTGGTACTTGACCATTGCGTGGTGGGGGATCCCTGGCAAGAGCTTGGCGCCCATGTACTTGGGTGGGGTATCCTGCGGGTTTCCCCAAGATAACGCCCTTGTCGGAGCTGTACCGATCGCTGTGGTCACCTGAGCTGATTGGTCATGCGATACGTCCAGCTGCCATCCAATGTCCAATAAAGTATTATATGAAGCTTTCCAATTGAGGTCCCCTATGATGTAGAGGGGGTGGCCCAGATGGCCCAGTGATTTGGCATAATCCAGAGCTGACAAAAACCATGATCGATCGTACCACTGAGGTCCGTACATGCTCAAGATTGTCGCTTTGGTAGTTCTGATCCCAACCATCCGATGGTCGAGCTTTTCGTCCCTGATGACGCTGATCTTTCCCATGGCCCGTCGCCACAAGATCGCACAGCCGCCCTGTGTCGTTGCTACTCTCGCCCCAGGAGGAGGGGGCTTCGAGCATGCTGCACCCCACCCTCGTCGAGCGCAGAAGTTGATCAGCCACCTCGGCCTCATGTCAGGGAGTCTAATCTCCTGGAGACATAATACACCGACGTCGTCTGCAACATTGTCCAGGATCTCCGACAATCTGGCCTTCGAGATGCTGGTGACGTTGATCGTGGCTACCTGCAGGCGATCGATGCTCTCGCCCTGGTCGTTCTCTGAGCCCTGTGGCTCCGTCTCGTTGACTTGATCTTCGGTCTGGTCAACCCCGTGGTCAGGGTGTTCCACTTCATCTTCTATACCTGTCTTCAAGCGTTTGGAGGATCTCGGACTCCGCGTCGATGATCTCCTCAATGGTGTTGGTGTCGTCGTCGGTCCCGTCGCAGTCCTCGAAGGTGTTGACATGGCGTCCCCAGCCTGGGGTGTTCCCTCGCATTCGGGGCTTCCCCAGGCTTGCAAAACGTGGCGACGCTGCCTGGGGTGTTCCCTCGCATTCGGGGCTTCCCCAGGACTTGCGTCCTGACGCCGCTGAGCCGATCCGCACCGCTGCCTTTTGGCCTCCCTGTGCACGTCGAGGCATTGATCTGCAAATACAGTCTTTGAATTCGAAGAACTAGAAAAATCAGTCTTTGGAGCAAGTTCAGAAACTGCTTGGTCTGCAAATACAGCCTTTGAATTCTGGGGCGGGTCCTCGGCACTTATGTCCATGACCCTTGCTTTCTTTGAAGCCGTAGTAGCCCCCGAAGATGAGGCCCTCGATGCTTTCACGTTTGTCGAAGCTTTCTTTTGCCGCTTGGGTAGTGGTTGCCCCTGGGAGTCATCGTGGCCTTCAGCACGGTGGCCTCCTCCTCCCAGGAGCGGATCCCGTCACGACGATGCTGGGGCTGCGGCCGCCTCCTCCTGCTCAGGCGCCTCGCTGGGAGCTACCGACGCAGGTCTGCGTAGCATCCTTATCAGCTTCCGCCTCTTGTAATATTCTTGGCGCTTGGCCTTCATCTCTGGAGTACCTTGTTTGCGTCTCCGCTTTTCCTGCGTCTTCTTATGTGCCGCCTCGATCTGGTCCGCGTAGTCCCTGTTGACCATCCTGGCCCAGACGTCGTGCGTAGCCTCCTTGACTTTGCGTGGATCTCCTGGTCGCCTAGCACAGACTGCCCACGCGGTGTTCCCTTTCTTCAGAATATGCTTGGCCAACGTCTTGCGTCTGCCGCATCTCGTACAAGAATATACCGTGTTGCCCTGCTTGCCGTCCTTGACCGTCTCAACGTTGTCCTCCGTGATCTGGCAGACGCTGGGCTTCACATCCTCTGGTAGAGACTGGTACCATGTAGTGTACCTCCTCCAAGCTTTGTCGCGCTTACCTTTGTCCATGTATGATAAGCTGGTCACCGCCCTCAGCCGTGCTGCCCTATTCTCAGGTGGCTCCTTGGGCGGTGGTGTGCCCTTGCAGGCTCGCCAGTGTACTCGTGCTTGTTGTAGAACGTGACAGGGCGCATGCGCTCCATCGGGCTTCCACCCGCAGTCACAAAAATAATAGTTGTAGCGCTCAGGGCGGCATGCTGGTAGATCATGATCAGGTAGAGGGTCATCGACAGCCTCATCACCGACTGATAGTCCCAGAATACTCCTAGCGCGTGCCAGGCGTTTAGCCGTCGGCTTCGAGGATGCCTTGGCCGTCGCCTTCGAGGTCTTAGAGCGCCCCGACTGACTGAGACCCAGCAAACTCCTGGCTGCATTCAAAGCTCTCGCGGTCTTCTTGGTCGAAGCTGGGCTGAGTCCCAGCATACTGCGTGCTCCTCTGGTCGACGGAGCTCGCGCTGACGGTGTGTGTGGTTCGCTGCCCGTTCCTCCCCCTGTAAATCGTGCTGGGTATGGGAATGCCGCAGTCGTCCATCGTGTCAAAACCTCCTGGGGTAGCTCAACACCCGCCTTTGGAAGAAGAAGTTTGTAATGCTTGTCCACTAACGTCGCCCATACTGCCTGCTTGGTCTTGATGTCCGCTGGGGCGGTATACAAGGTCCACGTTCCAGTGCGGGACTTTTTCCAGATAGAGAAGTTCGTCTTCGTGGTGACCGCTGCTGCTCTCACCATGGCCGATGTGGCCCATTCCCCAGTCTTGGCTGCCTTGCGGGCCTCATCCTGGGGATAGCGTTTGTTGTCCGTCATGGTGGCGGACACGATCATGCGCAGGTTGGCCTGGAGTGCACCGCCAGGGCCCATCTCCTTCTCCGCCATCTGCTTTGGCTTGGATTGGTTCGCTCGTATGCCGTGGGAGGCCGTCAAGAAAAAGCAATCTCCGTCTCCTCCGCAGCACTTCTCATTGAAATATGCCTCCCATGGAGGCTTCGTAGGCGCCTGTGGAGCTTGTGGTGGGGCTGCTGCTGCTGCTGCCGAGGCTGCTGCTGCTGAGCCTGGCTGCGGCGGCCGCTGCGGTCCACCTTCCTCGGCATTCTCCATGCCCACGTCGCCGTCCTTGTCACGTACTTCTGCTTTCACCTCTGCTGTCGCCTCCTGCACTGGAGCTCTGGCCGGCGCGGGAGTCCCCCACGCTGATGCTCCCTTGGCCTGTGGGGGCGGTCGTGATGATGTCCTGCGAGGCACAGCTAGACTAGCTATGATCCCCGACTTGAAAGTGCATACCTGATCTTTGACCAATCCGTCCAGATCAGCTCGCAGGAACCAGGCTCTTTTACTCGATCGTGTGATACCATCGATATTCTGGAACCCTCTGGCTTTGGCCCACTCCTCGACCTCCTGTGATGACGACCAGTGCTCTGGGCACTTCTGCAAATACCATCGAGGTTGGATGTCGGCTGCCATGGACTTCTGGGATAGAATTCCCAAAGATGCGTTATCTGATGGGCGGTACACCAATCGGCCCTCGACCTGTGCGGCTGCAGCAGTCACCCTGGTGAGGTACGCCATCATGTTCTCGCCGTCTCGTAGTTTGTGCCAGACTGGCACTAGCTTACTAGATTGTCTATTCAAAAATACCCCTGACGGGGCGGTCCACTTCAAAAATGCCTCTGTATCATTCTCTCGCACAAGGATAATCGCCGTCGACTCCGTCTGGTAGTTGACAGCTCCCTTGACTTTCAAAATCTTGGCTGCCAGCACTTGAGGGAATAGTACTGTCGCCATCGCCACTGGTTTCTCCTTGACCGTTGCGCACGTAGCATCATCAGCGAACGCCTCTGCGATCGTGAGCCGTAGGGCTGCTGTGGCCAAGGGTGGTGCTGTCGAGGCCTCGTCATCCTTCAAGCCTGTAGGTAACCCTTGGCGTGTCGGTGGCGAAGTCCCCGTCGTAATCATCTGGGCCGTGTGTGGTCTGACCCCAACAGATGTCTCACACATGACCTCGGTAGTGGTAGCCCCAGCCAAAATCGACGGTGCATTGAAGACAATGAACGTCATCCCACTGGGCTGCTCTTTGATGGATCCGAGCCACTGTGTTGCCTGCTCGTACTCCGTGGCCGACTGGCACGTGATGACAGCAGGGCCGTCGAGTGTCGTCGTCCTGATATTGGCGGCCTTGACAATCTTCGCCGTGCCCCACGGCTGAGAATGTACGACCAACTTTGTATCCTGCGGCTTCTCAGCAGCAGGTCCCCCGTTGAGCCACGTCGATGCCGCCGTGGTTCTCGTGAGGAGGCCGCGCAGCTTGTCCTGCACCTGCTCCTCCGTGACCTTGATGTGGTTGACCCGCACGTACTTCAGGTACTCACGTATCTTCTGAAGTGTCGGCGGTACTTGTGTGTTCTTGGGCGTGCGTTTCTTTGGCGACTTCCCCACAGCCACCTGAGACTCCACTCCCATCTTCTCAGTCAACTTGTTCAAAACTGTGGTGATCTGGGTCACCTGGTTGGCAAGATCTGCAACTTCGCGACGCCCCTTCGTCGCTTTGGCAGCACTCTTCCCTCCACGTTTGTTGACTCCTCCTCCAGATAGTGGGTCATCGGAGAAGTCCTCATCTTCAAGTCCGTCTCGCTGAACCTCTGGTTCAGCAGTACTCACTACCCTGCCGCGAGGGTCGAGTAGTGTGACTTCTTCCCAAGAAATCTGATGTTCGTCACCATGACTGCAGGGTGCAGTCTTCGCTTCGGACAAGGGGTCCGACCCGACGGTCCCGAGCACGATGTGCAGGAGGGTGGTGACAATACCGTCCACGTTCATCAGCGCGAGCAGCGAGAACGCGATGAAGGCGGCGAACCCGAGTCCCAGCAGGAACCCGACCTCCGAGACAAGCGGGTCGGCCACGTCGCTCCAGTCGACGCCCCCAGAGAGCGACTGCCACAGCGAGAAGATCGTCTGGGAGAGCGAATCGAAATGTTTCCTGAGCTGGGCTTCTTCAGTGGAGAGGCCGATGGTGTTGCCGTCGGCGTCAACATCCGAGCGTTGTATGAAATGGTCGGTCACCGACTGGAGGAACCACACGCCTACTATGTACATCATCAGCAGAAGCAAGACCACTGTCCAGAAGAGCGACTTGAAAGATCCCATGATAGAGCTCACGATTGTTCGCAGTTCGCTGATGAGGTGCAATACGCGCACCAATCGGAAGATGCGCACTATCCTCAACACCCGAAGAATACGCAGTATGCGTAGGTTTCCAGCATCGTTGTTAGCATTGGTGCTGGACTTCATGAACTCGATGCACTCCTGCACCAGCTGCGCGCCGACCACTAAAAGGTCGAAATAATTCCAGAGCACGCCGCGATCCCTCTTCCAGAAGAAGCTCACCCCGTAGACCCTCACCCGCAGCACGAGCTCCGAGGTGAACACGACGCAGAAGAAGACCTCGAAAAACCGGTACGGCCATGGTATGGACTCCGTGACGAAGCGTGCCGCGTAGTCCGCCTCAAGTCCTATTGTGAGGGCGCTCCCCAGAATTAGGAAGCTGACGGCATAAGAAGAACAAGCTGCATGAACATCAACGTTCGGAGGCCCGCGCGGATTCCTTGGATCGGCGCTGGGCCCCCTGGAGGAACCTCTGGCGCCGCCCTCAGTGCGCTCCGCGCGCCAGGGATGTGGGGTACAGCAGATCCACGCAAGATGTCCACGCGGGCCTCCGAAAACTGATGCTCATGCCGCCGCTTCCTCTTCGCGATGAGGTTGTCGAACCGGGAGCTCTGCAGGACCTCTGAATGTGCCCAAGGACACACAAATAAATACACACAAATAAAATCATCCCCCATATTTTCACATATGTTCTGGGTTTCTGTCTTCCCGCCCACTTCCCATACTTTCCCCTATTTTCTGGGAAATCGAAGATTCATTGTGCCTGTGTGATTCTTTTCCTCCTGAACCTCGGCGGCAGTCGTGTTGCGGTACGTCTTCGCCTGCGACAGGCTCCAGACCAGGTCGGCAAGCGGGGCGCTGCTCCGCACCGTCTCGGAGTGCCTCGCGAGCGCCAAGGACACCTTGCCGGCCGCCAGGGACTGCCGGGTCATCGTCCTCGCGAGCTTCGGCCTGCGCGGGCCGGAGGACGAGGTGCTGTCGCAGTACGCCAGGCTCGTGTTGGAGGCACGACTCGCTCGAAGCTGCTCGTCCTGTCTGCCGCGCGCAAGGAGCGGCCCTGGGCAAGAGGTGACCGCTGGTGCGCGGCCTGCCGGTCGCCGCATGCGGTGCGACGGTGACGGCCTGTGTGCTCGGGTGTGGGCCCCCCGCGCCCGCCAGAAGCCTCCGGCGCTCCGCAATGGAGGGGCGATGCGGTCGGGAACTTTTGCTCAGCGTGTCGCGGCGGCGGACCTGGCCACACGCCATGCCCTGCAAGCGGATAGCGTGTCGCTCCGCCTCGCGGGACGGGAAGGTCGGAAAAACTCGGGACGCTGACGCCTGGAGACCAAGACGTGAATAGCGTGCCGCGCCGAAGCGTGGTGGGCCAGAACCTGCGGTGCGACACGCTAAACCAAAGTTCCCGACCGTATCACGGGGCCCCGAAGGAGTGCGAAAAATATACCTTTCGTTGCTTCCCCCCGCTTTTTTTCGGGAGGGGAAAATACTCACAGAAAACAATCAGATAACCATACATGTCAATGCAAATGCGGAAAATATGAGAGATGGAGGGGAAGACGTAAATCCAAACAACATTGAACAATAGAAGGGAGCCTCAGGCATTCGCGTATTTCTGCGTGTCTCCCTGGGCGCCTTTCTTGTTGCCCCCCCGTCGAGCAGCCCCCGAAAGCTGCGCACCAGAGGTCACTCCAGCGAGGGGTCCCTCCGACGCGCGGCCCGCTCCTCCCCGCCGTGTGGCACCGCCGCCAGGCCCATCAGCCTCTCCTGCGGGGGCGGCCGGGGCACGATGAACGTGAAGCCGTTGTGGGCAAAGTCTGCGTCCTCCTCTGGAGCAGGGGGCCACATGCGAACCCTACCCCTACCCCCCACGATTTCTGGGGGGGAGGATGGGGTTCACTTCGCTCGGGAGCTCCCGAACGAGGTGAACCCCACCCTCTCCCTCGGGGATGGACCCCCCTTTAGCAAAACGTGGTTTAGTGAAACCGACCTGAGGCCCAAACCTGGCGGGCGCAAGCCTCGAAAATAACGGCCACGGCGCCCTCTCGAAAACCGAAAACGGACAATTCACTAATCGACGTGTCACTGTTGGGGGTTCTGTCCACCCCCGACTCCCTCAGAAATCGGGGGGGTAGGGGTAGGGTTCGCATGTGGCCCCCTGTGGAGAGGACCCGTCCGCATCGAAGCGACAGCTCGGCTCGGATCGAGCCGTGCATCGGATCGGGCTGCATCGGCGCGGAGCCGAACTCCAATCGGATCGGCTGCGCCAGGATGCACAGAAGCGCCATGCTAGGGGGCCACATGCGAACCCTACCCCTACCCCCCAACGATTTCTGAGGGGGAGGGTGGGGTTCACTTCGTTCGGGAGCTCCCGAGCGAAGTGAACCCCACCATCCCCCTCTTAATCGTGGGGGGTAGGGGTAGAGTTCGCATGTGGCCCCCTACATGCACGCATCGGGCCGCATCAGCTCGTCGGAATATCGGAATCGAATCGCATCGGGCCGGCCGGGATCGACATCGAATCGGATCGATCCAAGGCCAGAACACAACGATGTTTAAAACGCGCTGGCGCTTAGAACGAGAAACAAAACGAACCCGACCGGTGTACAACGAACGTTTAAAACGAAACCGGTGCAAACGAAGACGAAAAACGAAACCAGGCCACCGCTCATAGAGAAGACAAGCCGAAAAACGAAACGAACTTCGCAGACCGCGCTGAAAACAAAACGAAAAACGAAACGAATAGGGCGAGAATCTGGACGGGCTTGAACCAGACAGCACGACAAAACAAAACACGAAAAAACAACACGAAAAACGAACCAAAGCTGCGGCGGGGGCTACAGGGCCGGGGCTAGGGCGAGGGGCGAGGTCCCGTTTGAGGCGCATGCGGAAACAAACAAAATTCGAAACGAAAAACGAACTCGGCCTGCGGCTACGGCTGAGGGCTGGGCTAAGGCGGGGGGGGGAAGGTGCTGGTTGGGACATGCGCTAAACAAAACGAATAACAAAACGAACAACAAACGAAGACATGGAACGACGGCTGGGGCCAGGGCGAGGTTAGGGCTGGGGCTTGACCAGACGAAAGGGCAAAACAAAATACATGGAAAAAACACAACGAAAAACGAATCAGGGCTGCAGCGAGGGCTACAAGGCCGAGGCTAGGGCGAGTGGCGAGGTCCTGTGTGAGGCGCGCGCGAAGACAAACGAAACACAAAACGAACAACAGCCTCGGGCTGCGGCGACGGCTAGGGCCTGGGGTTCCTACGAATGTCGAAATTCTGGGTTGGGCTTGAATTCGCCCCGAAAGTTGTATGAGAAAAACAATGTGTTTTACCCATACTCTAAACGTCAACAGGGGGCCATACAGTGTGAAACAAAGCACGGGCGACACGGGTCACCCCGAAAACCGCGTGAGAAAAACAGTTGCTTCACTCGCATTCTTGACGTCAACATGGGACCATACAGCGCGAAGCAACACACTGGTGACACGTGCCACCCCGAAAACCCTGTGAGAAAAAGCACGTAATTTCACTCGAATTCTGATCGCAAACATGGGGCCAGACCATGTGAAACAGCACACGGGTGACACGTGTCACCCCGAGCACCGTGTAAGAAAAAACAACTGTTTCACTCGTATGCTTGACGCCAACATGGGGCCATACATTGCGAAACAACACACGGGTGACACGTGTCACCCCGAGCACCGTGTAAGAAACAACAACTGTTTCACTCGTATTCTTGACGCCAACATGGGGCCATACATTGCGAAACAACACACGGGTGACACGTGTCACTCCGAAAACCGTGTAAGAAAAAACAACTATTTCACTCGTATGCTTGACGTCAACATGTGGCATACAGCGTGAAGTAGCACACGGGTGACACGTGCCACCCCAACAGCTGGTTGAGGAAAGCAGCTGTTTCACTCGTACTCTGATCGCCAACATGGGGTCATACAGTGTGAAGCAGCACACGGGTGACACATGTCACCCCGAAAGCCCTGTGAGAAAAACCCATTGCTTCACTCCTATTCTGGACGACAACATGGGGCCATACAATGTGAAACAACACACTGGTGACACGTGTCACCCCGCATACCGCGTGAGAACAACCAATTGTTTCACTCGCATTCTGGACGCCAGCATGGGGCCATACAGCGTGAAGCAGCACACGGTTGCCACACCAAAAACCATGAGAAAAAAACACTTGTTTAACTCGTATTCTGGGCGCCAACATGGGGCCATACTCTGTGAAACAACACACGGGTGACACGTTACCCCAAACACCGTGTGAGCTAAACATCTCGTTTCACGCGTATTCTGGGAGCCAACATGGGGCCATACAATGTGGATCAACACACGGGTGACACGTGTCACCCCGAGCACCGTGTGAGAAAATCCAACTGTTCCACCCGTAGCCTTGACACCAACATGGGGCCATACATTGCGAAACAACACACGGGTGACACGTGTCACCCCGAAAACCGTGTGAGGAATACCACTTGTTTCACTCGTATTCTGATCGCCAACATGGGGTTATACAATGTGAAACAACACACGGGTGACACGCGTCACCCCAAACACCGTATGAGAAAACACACCTTGCTTCACTCCTATGCTGGGCGCGCTTTTCACCCGTATTCTGGACGCCAATATGGGGCCATACATTGTAAAACAACACACGGGTGACACGTGTCACCCCGAGCACCGTGTGAGAAGCACACATTGTTTCATTCGTATTCTGGTCGCCAAGATGGGGCCATACATTGCGAAACAACCCACGGGTGACACGTGTCATCCCGAAAACCGTGTGAGCAAAACCAATTGCTTCACTCGCATTCTGAGCGCCAACATGGGATCATACAGTGTGAAGCAACACACGGGTGATACGTGTCACCCCGAGCACCGTGTGAGAAAAAACACTGTTTCACTCGTACTCTGGACACCAACAGGGGGCCATACAATGTGAAACAACACACGGGTGACACGTGCCACCCCGAAAACCGTGTCAGCATAACTTATTGTTTCACTCGTATTCTGGGCGCCAACATGGTACCATACAGTGTGAAGTAGCACACGGTTGACACGTGTCACCCCCGAAAACCATGTGAGAAAAATACATTGCTTCACTCCTATGCTGGGCGCCAACATGGGGGCCATACATTGTGAAACAACACGGGTGACACGTGTCAACCCGAAAACCGTGTCAGAAATACCACTTGTTGCACTCGTATTCTGGACGCAAGCATGGGGCCATACATTGTGAAACAACACGCGGGTGACACGTGTCACCCCGAACTCCGCGTGAGAAAAAACAACTGTTCCACTCGCATTCTGGTCGCCAATATCGGGCCATACATTGTGAAACAACACGCGGGTGACACGTGTCATCCCGAAAATCGTGTGAGCAAAACCCATTGTTTCACTCGTATTCTGAGCGCCACAATGGAGTCATACAGGGTGAAACAACACACGGGTCACCCCGAAAACCGCGTGAGCATAACCAACCGTTTCACTCGTAATTTGAGCGTGAACATGGGGTCATACAGTGTGAAACAACACACGGGTGGCAGGGGTCACCCCGGCAACCTTGTGAGAAAAACCAACTGCTTCACTCGAATTGGAGTCTAGGGCCCAGGATTCGTGGGCCCTAGACTCCAAGGCCCAGGATTGCTGGGCCTTAGATTCCAAAGCCCAGGACTCCTGGGCCCTAGACTCCAGGGCCCAGGACTCCTGGGCCTTAGACCCCCGTCCCAGCTGACGTTGATGTTGGGGGTCCAGGGCCCAGGACTCCTGAGCCCTTCACTCCAAGGCCCAGGACTCCTGGGCCCTAGATTTCACGGCCCAGGACTGCCAGAGGAGGGTTGGAAACAAAAACTAAACGAACAACGAAACGAACGCCCGGAACTACGGCCGGGGCTACGGCACGGGCTGGGGCCCAGGCCGAAGACCAGGCCAGAAGCGCAACAGCAATAACGGGGGGGAAACAACGAAACGAACAACGAAACGAACGCCTGGGAACAGTGCCAGGGCGAGGGGCGAGATTCGGGCCAAGGCTCTCGCCCAACGAAAAGAACAACGAAACGAAACGAGCAACGAAACGAACGCCCATCACTACGGCTAGGGCTACGGCAGAGGCTGGGGACCAGGCTGGAAGTCAGGCCAGGCGCGCACCAAAACAGCGCGAAACAACAAAACGAAACAACATCGGGCCATCGAAAACGAAGAACACGATCACCAACAAAACGAACAAAGAAACGAAACATCAAGCAATCATCGAGATTCTTATCAAGCGTAATCACAACATCGAAGGATAACAGCGGCGCGAAACAAAACGGACAACGAAACGAACCGCGGAATGAACGGGACAAACAAAACGAAAGACGAAAAGCAAACTTGGAAACGCACCAAAACAGAACGAACAACGAAACGCGCGCCCCAACGTTTAAAGTTCAAACGCGTTTAAAACAAAAACGAACAACACAACGGAACATCAACGAACAACGAAACGAAAACACAAGGGAAAACATCAAGCAAAACAGCGCTGTGCTCGGGCCTTGGATCGATCGGATCGACATGGGCCCTGTTTCTGGGGCAGGAACCACATTCCACTACAGTCGAGGCGTTGACCTAAGGAACCCTAAATAAGGAACGAGGCCCCTTTTTTCATAAGTTAACCTTCGACTTCCCATCGAAAGCTTAAGGAAAACCTTGGGCAAGGTGTGAAACAATCAAGGAACACCGAGCCCCTCCCCAGCGAAAAGGGTTCCTTCTTCAGGGCCCCGACTGTATCTGCGGCAGGCTCGCGTCGTGACGACTCCGGCGTTGGCTTCGGACACCGCGTGGATCGTTCAGCCGCGAACGATAGGCGGATGTTCGATCGTCAGATCGTTCCACTCTGACCGATTCTGGGCCGCTGGCGGCGTTCCACCGAGAACGCCCGCGCCAGGGTCGCCGCCACACCGACACGACACGGACCGTATGCACCATCGCTGGGCCAGCTCAGGTCCAGTTTCTGTGCACTCGACTTCCAGGGGTGGCCACAGGAAAGCTTCAGCCAGAGTCCTGGGCTTGAGGTGGGGGGCCTGCGAATGCCTTGTGGTGGCGCGTGTTTGCCTCCCGCTGGTCCTTTTCTGACTCGTCCTCGTCCTTGCTCTCGGGAATGAAATTCGGGAGTGCCAGAAGCTGCTCGCCAGGAACCCCCTTGCTGCTCTTCTTCCTCAAGGCCCGGATCGCCCATGACTCCCCGCTCCTCGATGACAGCCGCCCCGGATCCGCGTCGGTGCTTTCGTTGCGACTGACATTGTCTCGCCCAGGCATAAGGTTGGAAGCGCTAAGATGACTCGTCCTGATATCTGCCGAGGGCCTCCTGGAATTTGCGGAGGAGAAACTCTGCAGCTCCCGCCGCATGTCCTGGACATCCTCCTTGAGCGACGAAAGGTCCTTCTGGATCAGGGGGAGCACGATCTCCTGGAAGGCACGTCTGGATTTGCAGGCGTGTCTTGAATCCAGTTCCTCTGTCCTATGTTTGTTTTCGGATGGCAGCGCAGGACTTTGAGGCGTGCCCCCAAATATGTTCTGTCTAGCGCACACGGATGGCAGCCATTGTTCTCCATGTCCTGCCTCGAGTTTCCCCCGTGTGGGGCCCCTGGAGGCCCGTTTCGAGCCCGGGTCCCAGAACCGCTGCAGCGTGCCAATTGGCAACAAATGGCAGCGATTGCTCTCCGTGCCGTGCCTCGCGCTTCCCTCCTGTTGGGCCTCTGGAGGCCCGTTTCGGGCCCGGGCCCTCGAACCGCTACAGCGTGCCAACTGGCAAGGTACCGTCTGCCTCCTGCTCCTCCTCCTCCTCCTCCTCCTCCTCCTCCTCCTCCTCCTCCTCCTTCTCCTCCTTCTCTTCCTCCTCCTCCTCCTCCTCCTCCTCCTCCTCCTGCTACTATGCAGCCTCCTCCTATGCCGGTGCCCCACGGGAGCCGAGCATCCTGGAAGGCGCCCTGGATCTCCACCCTCAAATCCATGCTGCCCTTCTGCAGGAAGGCCGGGCTGGACGAAAGGGAGAGCCAAGAGAGGGGGTGCAGGCAATCAACCGCACGCAGCGGGTTTTTCCTGGCGCTGGGAGCGACCGTGCCCCGAGGAATGCGCTGGGTGGTGGGGCCGGCGGCAGCTGCGCACAGCAGCTTTCGCCGCCCCCTCCCCCATGCCTTTCTCCAATGCCGTCCACGGCGACACTGCAACCGAGAACCGACCGAACCGGCAGTGAAACCGAAACCGACCGAAACCGTCATGCCGCAGTCAGCCTGAAAAAGCACAGCGACGCAACAATGACACAGCAGCCGACCGAACCGAACCGACCGAACGCAACCGACACCCTTGCTCAGACCCCACCTTAAGACGAAGGCAAGATGATGACAACTTCGGTTGTGGATAAAGCGGGGATCTCCGAGAGCAAGCAGGTCTGTGAGAAGTATCGGGCGCCGCAGCCGTTCCAGAAGAGCTCCAGAGCGCCCTGGGAGCGTCTGTGCAGCGATGTGTCCTCACCCTGGGCCTGCCTGAAGCCACCCAAGAGCCAACTTGCGCGTGGAGTCGCAGGGCTAGCTGGGCCTGGCCCATGTCCTCAACGAAAGCGCAGGGTCAATCAACATCGAATTGGGAAATCGTATCGGCTCGGAATGCGCATCGAAATGAACCGCATCGGCACAGAGTCGCGCCGGAATTCATAACGACCCTGAGAGCCGACGTTGCGGAAAAAAATCACGACACACCACGACCGGAACCCTAGACAGGGGGCCAGATGCGAACCCTACCCCTGCCCCCCACGGTTTCTGAGGGGGAGGGCGGGGTTCACTTCGTTCGTGAGCTCCCGAGCGAAGTGAACCCCACCCTCCCCCTCAGAAATCGTGGGGGGTTAGGGGTAGGGTTCGCATCTGGCCCCCTGTCTAGACCCAACCTCTCTGCCGCATTTCTCGAACTGGATAGTAGCTCGGATCTCGAGGCATCTCTCGAGATGGCCTTGGGGCCCCAGGCCCGGCGGCAGCGCCCGGAAGCAAAGCACGAGCGAAGCGCCCGGGCCTCGGGGGACGCCGTGCGAGCGCCTGTCCTCCTCCCCGAGAGGGGCCCGCCTCGCTCGGGGTCGCGGCCCCGCCGCCACGGCCCGCCAGGACGCGCGGGGCGCACCCGGGCGGCGGGTCACGGGCGCCCTGCCATGCTCGGGCAGCGCCAGGAGGGGGGGCACCAGGTCGCCACGGCTCCTGGCGGTGCAGCTTGTTCGCCATGGGCGTGTTCGCGCGGCCTCGGGCCCCGAGAGCCTCACAGAGCGGCCCGGCTCGCAGAGTGGCGCAGGAAGACGGGGTCTGGGGCTCCCGTCCTGACTTTTGTCGATGCTGCAACTCTGTCCGCTGCGTCGGATCTCGGGGTCGCCACTTCCTCGAGGGACCTTCCTGGCCAGCGGCGAGGACGAACGCCAGCGCGGTCGGTCGCCTGGCATGCCGCCCCAGGCAGAGGCACACCAGACAGGTGGAACGAGGAGGGCGGCCGCGGAGGAGGGAACGCAGGGGGAGGCCTCAGGCGAAGAGACCCCTCGCCAGGAGAAGTGTCAAGTCGGGCCTGTCCCTCTGCGGGGGGAATGTTCAAAAATAGTAAAATCGTCTGGGGACTTCTTTTTTGGGGAGTATGTTTTGACCACTTTTGGGCATTTTTGGCACTGGAGGCGACGTGCGCACCGAGAAATCTTATAGTATATGCGTCGTGGGGGGCGCTTTCTGGCCACACCGCTCGGGAAACGATATACTACAAGATGGGTATACTATATGTTCGGGTCGGACGCGCGCCTCCAAGGAGGACATATAGTACTAGTATGTCTTTGTGCTTCCCAGGTTATTTTTTGACTTTCATCCAAAAGTCCCCCCGTATGGGGGACACGCCCGACTTGAGAGAGGCGTGCAGGCGGCCTCGGGCACCGAAAGCTGGTGCGCTGGAAGGTCAGTGCCTCGAGCAAACATGCCGCTTCCTCAGAAAGAGGGGGGGCGGCCCCCAGAGCACTCCAGAGCTCCCTCCCCCCCCCTCCTCCTCCTCCTCCTCCTCCTCTCCTCCTCCTCCTCCTCCTCCTCCTCCTCCTCCTCCTCCTTCTCCTCCTCCTCCTCCTCCTCCTCCTCCTCCCTCCCCCCCTCCCAAAAAAAAAAGTCCAGCAGGACTCCTCGAGCTCCGACCCTGGAGCCTCGATCCTCGGGAGGAGCGCTTGTGACCCCCTCTCCACCTGGGTGACCCCCCTCGGCGCTGCACGGATGTGCGGACGGCCCCGCGCGCGGGTCGGGGAAAAATCACCATGCACATACACCGATTTGGGCCAGGTCCATCCTGAGCCCGAGATCGGTGCATGCGCCCTCCTGCCTTGGCCAGGAAGGCACATGCGCCGATCCTGGGGCCAAGGATGGGCCTGCCCTGACTCCGGATCCGCCCTACTTTGGGGAAATTCGTAAGTAGGGCTTGGAATTTCCGCCTTACTTTTCAAGCCCCGCTGATGCCAATTTCCGCCCTACTTTTCTGTTGCTGTTTCTGTGGGTGTCCGCCCTATTTTATGTTGGGTGCAGCAATTTCCGCCCTACTTTTTCGGCCTCTTATAGGTGGATTTCCGACGCAATTTCAAGTTGGAAAAAAAGGCAAAGTAGGGCGGATCCGGAGTCAGAGTGGCCAAGACCGGAGCATGTGCATGGTTCTCTTCGCCCGAGCGGGGAGGGGTGCCCGGGCCGAGCGCGGGTGCGCTGCGCGCCCCCCCCCGGCTTGGGCCGAGACGTGCCCGGAGACGGAGGGGCAGAGGGGGCGCAGCAGCGGCGGCCGTATCTCCAGCAGCCTCCGAAGCAGCGCCATGACTGGCGCAGGCGGGATGAGAGCGACTCCCACGAGACCTCTGGGCGCAGGTGGTCCAGAGAGTTTCCTCTTCCGACCTCCCTCTTCTCATTGCCCCCTCTTCGGGGAAGGGCTCACTCCAGATTTCGTGATAAAAGGGAGGGGGTCTGGACCCTCCAATACAAGCCATTTCAGACCTCCCCCGTGGGAGAACCCTCCAAAACATCGTCCCCAGACCCCCCCAGGCCCTCCAAGATAGCCTGGAAGAGACCCCCCCCCCCGAAATGAGACCCCCCTCCCTTTACTACGAAATCTGAAGTATCCAGTTCGAAAAATGCGGCAGAGAGGTTGGGTCTAGTAGGGGGCCACGTGCGAACCCTACCCCTACCCCCCACGATTTCTGAGGGGGAGGGCGGGGTTCACTTCGCTCGGGAGCTCACGAACGAAGTGAACCCCGCCCTCCCCCTCAGAAACCGTGGGGGGCAGGGGTAGGGTTCGCATCTGGCCCCCTGTCTAGGGTTCCGGTCGTGGCGTGTCGTGATTTTTTTCCGCAACGTCGGCTCTCAGGGTCGTTATGCATGCCGGCGCGGTTCACTTCGATGCGCATTCCGAGCCGATACGATTTCCCAATTCGATGTTGATTGACCCTGCGCTTTCGTTGAGGACATGGGCCAGGCCCAGCTAGCCCTGCGACTCCACGCGCAAGTTGGCTCTTGGGTGGCTTCAGGCAGGCCCAGGGTGAGGACACATCGCTGCACAGACGCTCCCAGGGCGCTCTGGAGCTCCCAGGGCACTTTTTTACGAAATCTGGAGTACCCTTCCGCTACCCCCTCCCTCTGGATCCAGACGGCAGGGGGGGAAGGCGGCACAGGATGGCCCCCAGAGGGCGCCCGACGCCCGAAGATGGCCTCCGAGGTGGCGCCCAATCGAAGGATTGCAAAAAAAACAAAGGATTGCAAAAAAACCTTGGTCGAAGGATTGCAACAAAAACCTTGTTTTTGTTTTGCAATCCATCGAACCTTGTTTTTTGCAATCCTTGTTTTTTTCTGCAATCCTTGTTTTTTTGCAATCCTCCTTTTTTTGCATCCTGCTACGCGGCCCAAGCTGGTCTCCAGCAGGCATCCAAGACATCCCAAGCCTGCCCGAAGACGGCTCATAGCGATCCTCGAGTCTTCCCAGAGCCCCAAATCCTTCAAAGACCAGAAGGGAAACCAGAGTCGTGTGCCTTCTCGCTGTATCGCTTCCGATGGGCTTCCGACGCCTCAAGATGGCCCGAGAGAGCCGAAAGAGGGGCCCAGGAGAGCCTCTAGATGGACCTCAAAACGCCTACAAGCCTCGTCAAAAATAAAGAAACAAAGTTGGAAATCACGACGATCGATCTTCTCGGGCACTTGTTAGACACTGCGTTCTTCAATGCTGCGGAGAGGTCGTTAGATTTTTGAAGCCCTTGCGTCCACGTCAGATATCTAGCGTCAGCATTGGAGTAGCGCTGACCATACAATCACCGAAAACATAATCCCCCAGTTTATTTTTGACGAGGGTTGTAGGAGTCATACAGAAGCGTTCCAGGA